AAGCAAAAATGTTTCGAGCAGAAGTTGCAGAGAGAAATTAAATACTCATTTTATATAGAATACAGTTTTCCTGTAATTTTTACTATTATCGATATAATTGAACAAACTGGAGCGGAAACGCCAGAATTAATGTGCCATGTATGCACATCCTGACTTGTGTGCGATATTAATGTCGGGTGCACGGCGGAATCGAATCATGAACAGTTCAAATGATAACCGGCAGTAAAACTAACTCCCGAAATGTCGCATATGTTAAGTATACTTCAGTATGAATAATATTCGACATAATTTAGGGTAATTGTGCATTGCATAAACCGTTTGACGATTACCAAAACATCAGATTATGAATCACAGCCAGTTCATTTGTGGCCCGCTTAATTGCTCTGTCACTGTCAGACTGAGTCTCTAGCGCCGAATGAGAGGGTAGTCAGTTGGCATGGATGTGAAAGACAGCGGTTCTAGCCTAATTTAGGGTATTAACCCAGCATTTCCCGGGAATAACTGAGGAAATCCTCAGTCAAGAGAGCCAAGTTTGGGCTTCAGATTTTAATCTTGAACCTACCAGTTGTATCGACTGGCTACAGGCTGGACGACTGACGGTTCGTAGTTCGAGTCCCGCAAGATTTATACCCTCTTCACGACGCCCAGACGGGTTATGGGGCCCACTCAGCCTCCTGTCCAATGTACCGGGGGCACTTTCACCCGGGGTAAGGCGACCGGTGTGTGTAGCTGACCACTCAAACCACTCCTTCATACGCCTTCATGGCACAGTGCTTAATTAGTTAAGCACTGGGAAAATTTTTCCTTTTACCTGCCATTTGCGAGGCAGGAATATGAAGGAATGGGCAAGGATATTCGGTAAAGCAGCTAATGTTTTCAGCACGAGTAATAGTGGCGTTTTCGTAAGTCCGACGGCTGTCACGTTTCTAACTGAATCAGAAGTTAAATTGTATCGAATTCTATGCGACGCGCATGATACGTCTGCTGACAGTCGGGTGGCATAACTTGACACTGAGTACGGGTGTATCACCACCACAATCATCATGACGTGTCAGAGTATGATGGGTAATGCCATGCTTAGCTGACACGGTGACAGCCTCGTTACTGATCGAGAGCTCCCTAGTTATTACGTAACCAAAACTTGGTCCATCTACGTCAGTGTAGTGTAGGCAACCTCACGGAAGAAAAGTCCCGCATAAATATGTTTGAACTTCCCACCAGCATACAAGTATGCGTGACTTTCTAATGACGACGTAACTGTCTACGTCACTAACTGGCGATGACACATCCTCGCTCCCATGGTATATGGGTTTTATGGTGTTGGCACGAGTCTCAGTACATTCAGTGCAGTCCGCTTGCAACTTATTTCCTTTTTAATATTATACTTCCGTACCGAATATCCTTTCCAGAATTCGAAAACCCCGTCTTACAAAAGGTTTCCCCAATATGGCGCTGGGGTTCACTCAGCCTCTAACAGTAATGAGTACCAGGAATTAATTAAATAATTTTCCTGGGGAGTAAAGCGCGGTCGGCACCTAAGGCTGACAACCTTACCGCCATCTTTGAGCCGACTGTCTAGATAATGTGGGACCCTCAGCGTCTCACAACCCTATGGGCCTTCATGGCCTGTTACAGGGATAGCTTTACTTACTTACTTCCAGTTCCTTGATCTTTTTACCATTTGGTGCAAGTTCGATATTCTAATGAGGCAATTGGATTTTTCAATTGACCCAATTCTTCCAGACGCACTGTGGCCCTGGATTCGACTCAGCCTCTAACAGAAATGAGTACCAGGAATCATCCTGGGAGATAAAGTTCGACCGGTGCTTAAGGCTAGCAACCTCACCGCCATCTATGAGCCGATTGTCTAGAAAATGTGGGAACCTCGACGTCTCACAAGCCTATGGACCATCATCTCCTCTTACAGGGATAGCTTAACTGACAGCGTTAAGTCAGAGGTTTGTCTGTTCTGCACAGGCCTACCCAGCGGCAAAATGATTGGAACGTGAAGCTGACAACTGATGCCCATCTAGTGCCAAGTTTAAAAGTACCTGGAGCTTCATCTCCATCCCCATACGTTTTCATGGCGTGGTGCTTAATTAAGCAGCAACAACTTTGCCTTTGCCTTTGTATGTGCAGTCTGCAATTTTAAGAAGGATTATCATATATCAAGAGAGTAATATATTATGGCATGTGACGCCGTGTAGTCTAATAGAAGTTTTCCGACGTTTTAGAGGAACATACCGCCTTCATCTTCAGAGTGGCTGCTTGCTAGGTTTCTTCCTCTCTGGCTGTTTTCTTAGCTTACTCTTCGAGTCTGAAGATGGAGGAAACGCTTTCCTCCTAAACATCAGTAAATTTTCAGACGACACGGTGTCATATCCCAGAAGATAGTACTCCTCATAGTCACCGCTGTGGGAACCTCAAATCCAATTATATTGTCTTTTTGGTCACTGGATGTACCTCGTAACTTCAGGATTATTGAGGGGTTGAGGTTCTCACAGCGGTGGTTAGGAAGCGTTCTGTCTTCAGGGATATAGCGCCGCAATACAAGTAGAAAATTGTTTCAGAGGAACATGGCTTGCTTGCTGCCTGGCTTACTCTTCGACCCGGAGGACGTAGGCGAAATTTTCCTCCGAAACATCAGTTAGATTTAACCGGACTATACAACGTTATGTCCCAGAATACGTCACTCTTCACAACTCTGGGATATACCCTTCAGGCATTGCGTAATCAGGTTGCTGTTCAATCCTGTTTAATTCATGTTGTTCCCACGGATTCTCCATCAGTTAAGGTCAGACATGAAAGAATTTTTCTTTAATTTATAGCTGTTACTTCCATTGTGTTTCCGGTTGTCTTCCCGAAATCGCAGATTCGCTCAACACATTTAAAACATTTATGTTTCTAGCTGGTTTATTTGACATTTGAGAAAATCGCATGAGGATGATTGTTGTACCGAATGGGTTTGTCCTAGTGGAAACGCCCTGCACTTCTATGCGCGAGGTTGTGTTCGAATCTCTGATGAAATATTGACTATTGTGACAGAGGTCTTCATGGTTTTCCTCAGACCCTCCAGGAAATTCCGGGTGAACACCTCGATTAGACTGATACTTTCCAATTGGTCTTCCAACAAACATCCTACCATTTCGACGGTTTATAGTATAGCTTTTGGCAGCGTCGCAAAGTAACCAAAAAGAAGCTGCTACGCAGCAGCACGCTAGAACCTATATGTCTGTCTTGCTTCAGATATGTAAAGTATGTTGTTGGTTATAATATAATCAGCTTAATCAGGCCGGCGTGTGTGTCCTGATGTTTGTCTTTTCGTCGTCACGTCGTTTCCATAGAAACCGAATGCAAAACTAATCTTGCTTAATTACGACAGAACCAGAATATGGTGGCAATAATCTGCAGTGTTGTCAGTCGACACTATGGCGCTGATATGTTGCATCTCCTGTCTACTGTCATGTCTGTCCAGAACTTCCTAATTCAGAGAGTGGCATATTCAGTGAACTCTTGATGGCAGAATGTCCCTCAAGGGCTGTGACGTGTGAGACTGGACCAACGAAGGGCTATCTGTTGAAACCGAAGATAGAGATGGGAACTGTCAGAATTTCCCGTTGAATTTTCAATGGCAGTTCCACTAGTTACCTGTAATTGCTGGCCCCCGTGGACAAGTCATCTAATATGCGTGCCGTATTTCACCTCGATATGAGAACCAACTAGGACCCAGGGCCGTGCAGTTAGGTGCCGAATTCCCACAGCGGTGAACCAGTTCCATCCCATGTCATGTCATGTGGGATTTGTGGTTGATAAAGTGGCACTGGGGTAGATTTTCTTCGAGTACTTCATTGCGCCGTCGCTATATAGCGACTGGCTACGGGCTGGACTGCAAAGGCGTACGACTTCGAAACTCTGTATGGGCAAGATTTTTCCTGTCCACGTCATCCAGACCGGTTCTGAACTCCACCTAGCCGCCTACCCAATGTGTACCGCAGGCTCTTTCCTCGAGGATAAAGCGGTCGGGACGTGAAGCTGGCAACTCAGCTCCAACTAGTGCCGAGATCAAGAATACGTGGATCTATACGTCCACTTCCTCATACGTCTTTATGGAGTAATGCTTAATTAGTTAAGTACAGGGAAGGGTTTACATTTAGTTCACATTTTCGGTTTCCCCTGCCAATTCCCATTCCTCCGACTGCTCCACAGCCAACATTATGTAACATCCTGGGGCCGGTACAGTACGCCCACTAGTTGCCGACGTACCAAGTGGACTCTGTCTCACCCCACCCCAAATAAATAAAAAATAATCCGACAAGGGGCGACTCAGGGTTCCAATCTGATACTTATTTTAAAGGCACTGATGTGGAAGGTAAAGATCTTAGCGCCTGTTTAGCTTCCCTCTCCGCGGTGGGATCTTCGGCTTCTGTGACGCGCAGAATTGCTGCGTCTTTGGACTCTGTCCATCGGCCGGTAGTCTAGAAACTAGAGAACACAACGTTTCGGAAACTCCCCATGTGAGGAGGGAGACATCTTAATCACTGGACGGAAACATATCCAGGTTCCGAAAGGTAAAGCTATCCCTGTAACAAGCCGTAGAGGCCCATAGCGTTGTGAGACGTCGAGGCTCCCACATTTTCTTTAGACACTCGGCTCACAGATGGCGGTGAGGTCAGCCTTACGCGCCGGCCTCCCCTTACCTGCAGGAAGATTCCTGGTACTCATTTCTGTTAGAGGCTGAGTCGACCACAAGGGCATAGTGCGGCTGGAAGGTTTAGGTAAATTGAAAAAAAAAATCCACCTCATCGGGGCTCGAATCCGCCACATTCCGGATAAGCAAATTGACTCATGTTTCAGAAGAACATTTGTTTCTACCAAACTACACGGTGCCCCATCCCAGAGAACATTTGTCTGGAGGAACTGAGGAATACTGTTATAAATATTGACAATTATATTTCCGGCCCAGATTCTCAAATGGTTCAGTGTTCATTTTGTTTGTGTAGTTCCTCGCAAGGTCCTGAAGGATCGCTTCGAGGAGCAGCCAGAAGAGGATGAGCTCGCGGCTGTAGCGACCGGCGACTCCGTGGACGACGACGAAGAGTTCGAAGGTTACGACACAGACGAATTCTTCAGGGAGAGCGCAGCTTTCTCGCCGTCCCCCAACCTGGACGGCAACCCACATGACAAGAATCTAACCAAGGACTTCACACAAAGAACAACCCCCAGACCACCCCCTCATGCCAAAGCCAAGGGTGGTGGAGCAGGTAATCCTGTGCTTGTTGCATGTTTGTCTGTTCGATGTTGTATTGCATTCATAATAACTGTGAAAAAAGCCAGTTCACACTGAGCCGACGTTTGTAAGAAACTAACGAATTGAATAACTGTACTCTGTTCACAATATCTATGGAATGGATGTAGACACAAACAAGGAATTGGATACAAGTGAAAAAGCTAATTCACATTGGTCCGACAGTTTTAACGTGTGGGTTGTGGAATCGAAACATTAGTTATCAAAACTAACCATAAGTAACTCCGTTAATGGGCCGTGCCATAGCTCAAGCGGTTAGTCGCTGGTTTCCCACCGCGGCGGCCCGGGTTCGATCCCGGGTCTGGTCAAGTGGGATTTGTGGTGGACAAAGTGGCGCTGGGGCGGGTTTTCTCCGAGTACTCCAGCTTCCCTTGCCAATCTTCATTCCACCAATTGCTCCACAATCACCCTCACCTATCATCTGGGGCTGGTACGATAGGCCAGAAGTGGCCGCAGTACAAGGGACTTAGTCCCACCCCACTAGCAAACTCCGAACATGTATCACTTTACTGCTTTAGTGACTTTATTATGTTGCGCTGTAAGAAACCAAACTTCAAGCTAACCGCACTCACAGGAACTTAGTCGAGTGGGGGCCAATATGAGGCGAGTATCTTATCGCTACATCTGTGTCTACATTCGTTCCAGAGACATGGATCCTATTTGTATAAACGTCTAGAATTGGGGTTCGAAACAATGACATTTCATTTTTAATATCATGGATATCTCCCGAAAAATAAACTATCATGGCTAACCATTTGTCCAAAAAGAAACATTGTTTCTCTCATACAACACATTTAAGGGAGGACTCGAGTCAATGCTACTTCACCCAATATTTAAGATATTTAATTGAGGCCCATAGCTGATTCCAGTAACTCGTCCCTCACGTTTTGACAAATCTTAGTCACTTTAAGGAGTGGCATCACAAATTCGATATTTCATTTCAGCAAGCTCATCAGTGTTTGAAGGATGCCATGTACCCATAATCTTGAACATAATCCCAGTGGAAATTGTCCTTATATATTACATTTGTAGATCTAAGAGGAATGGTTTACGGCTTCCACACCATTAAATATTTCGAAAATATTTATATCGCATTAGAAGTGCCAAACATAATGTCCTTTTGAACCAAATCAGTTATACAATTATAAATATAATTTATTTGTTTACAGTAGCAATTGGTATGAATTCAATATTCGCTAAATAATTAGTCTGTTCCATAATCTAAGTTTTAATAGTCTTTTGTATCAGATGTTTTATAACATTCATGAATAGTAAATAACAGTTAAAAATAGAATAATGTATTACATAAGACGTTAATAATACCTTAAATAGTATTGGAATCATAGATAATCTAGATTATTTGGTTCAGTTTATAAATATCTATCTATCCTTTCGCCTCAATTATACAAAGGCATCCATATATTCTCTGTTTCCAGTATTTGGATTCCATTTTCAATATTGTGTTTTACTTTGCTCTGTGTAAGCTTTTCCATCTTGCATTATGCTTAACAGAGGGATCTGTGGAATAGGATCTGTCACCTTCGCCAAATTCGTCCTTTTCTCGCCGCTTTTTACCCAGAGAAACCTTCTGTCAGTGAATTTCCATGATACTGTATGATTTTTTTGAATTGGTTAAGTTTAACTGTTGATAGGTGGTAGCACATTTTCCATTGATTGATCTTCTCAACTGGGCCGGATGGGCATTGCCTAGGCCTTTTTTTATATTTACAACAATTTTTCCCCACAATAAAAAAAAATCTTTTCAACTGTCAAATCCAGAAATTGTGTCTAAACCAGATATTTCTCTTATAACATGTACAGGATCGTTTCGTGTACGCTGTAATTTCTAGTTTCAAATTTGGATCAGCCTTTGTGCATGTGATAGGGATTTCAAGCTGAATTTCTCCCTGTCAGGACTCGTGGGCTCTATAGTGAATGACAGTTCACTTCAATTTTTCCATAAATTGCTCGCCAGAAAACGTTTTACCTTAGGCCACTCGAATATTTCTCTTGGGCAGATTTTGGCAAACGTTTTGAATTTTTCGTACGTGTAAATTCTACAGAAATATTACATGGATCCTTCTTGCCACATTTGCTTCATTCGTTGTTACAGTTCTTCATTGTATAAATGTTGTCTCGCTAGACGTTCGCATTGAAAAGAGAAAATATTTATTAGCATGTATCATGAACCATTTCCTTGTAATATGATTTTCGAGTAGTGTTTTCTACTTTTATTTGCAATACTGGAACGTAACTCTTTGCCTTTGAGGCCGGAAGTTACATTTTAGATATTTCATTTTGTACTTATCATTTGTTTGCTACTTTTCCGAAGCCATATCTGCTTTACGCATATGTAATATAAGCAGTTATGTTTGTTGTGTGATTTGACCATTGCAAAAGAATCGATTCGCAATAGATCGAAACTTCTTGCAATGAGAAATCGATGTTACATAGCATGTTGATGTCTATGTTGACCCCTATTTGGCCGTTAATCTCAGTATGCAATTGTTATCGGATTCGTAACACACTTTGTGAAGGTTCGTTTTATTAACACAAAACTGAAATCATAAGTTTATCAGCAAATGATGAGCATTTAACGTGCCCAGATAATGCAGCACATACGAACACCGTATACAAAACGCAACATGTTCATTACAGTCCTGATGTCATTTGTAGAGGCAGTGACTTGATTATAGATCGTGCAGGAAATGTGAAAACAGATAGAAAGACATAATTTTTCCAACAGCGAAGTGATGACGAATTTTAGCTATACAGAATTATTTTTGTTCTCTTTTCTGCTAGACACATTATCATATTTCAGTCACGTTATGATAACCAGTTTATGGCCGCTTTTTGAAGAAGGGGTGATGATTTTCGTTGCAGAAAGATCAAGGCGATGAAGATATGATAAAACGATGTTGTTCCACAGTTCATTCGAGAAAGTGGCGTATTTCTACGCCACGCTGGATTATGAACACCATTGGTGACGGGCCTGCGTGCCGTGCGTCGTATTCGGTCCACGGTATCATTTCACGAATGTAAAAATGAAATCATTAATGTTTCAGAATATCCAAATGTTGAGAATCTAGTGACGAAGGATTTTAAAGCTTTTATAGGTGTTTTTCATTCATGGATTTAATTTCTATGAAGTTTGATTCGGAAGAGTTTTACTGAATTTTTTCAACATTTTGCAATTTTCGTTTAAACCGGACAACGATATCGGACACTTCGGCCTAAATGAAACCTAGCACACGTGTCACAATGGAATCTCGCGCCAAACTTTCTACATATTTATCGAAGCGAATAAGGTTTAGGACAGAAGTTCGATAAAAATACAAAACGTACATTTTTTGCTGAATATACATTTCAACAAGTCTCGCGATTTTCGAGATAAACGAAAGAGGGTCAACTCCAGTGTTGTTACGCTGTGTGAACGTTTGTAATTGCATTAAATTATTACCAGTATATTAAAGGCTGATCACCAGAGACGGGGTAAACGTTTGTTACCTCTTTTCCTTCTGTTTTGTTATATAAATTAACTTCTGTTAATGTATTCTCAATGTAAAGTGTAGTTTCTATCGTCAATCCACAAAAAGAAACACTTTGTTTCCATTGGGGAGACCTACTGGTTAGTGCTATTCAAGGAAATATTCACCATTTATTTTGAGATTCATAAAAAACACATATATGCACTCTGTAGCCAAAACGTAAATGTTTTATGTTATAATAGGTGGTATATAGTTACTACTGTGTTTTAGAGGGTTAAGTGTCATGCGTTATTCTGTTTTTCTACTGCCCCCCAAAACCAAGTAATTTGTGAACTTCAGTTGTGTGAACTAATGGATTGATACAGTTTCACCAACCTAATTGTACCCAGTCCATATGTTCACGTAACTGACACGATGTTAAAGAAATCAACTTCTCAATGTCTTGTGAAACCTATCTTCTACCCAGTACTTCACTGCAAATGCTGTCCGAGGGCCAGCTTCTTAGCCAAACATTCAGCCTTAAATGAAGTTACATTTGCAAAAACTTCAAGCTTTCTTTAGTTCTAACTCAGTCAGTATAGTTACTAGGGTATTGGTTGCATGACGGAGGAACCATGGTTCAATTTTCAGCATGGGCAAGGGGTTTCACTCTTCTCCACCATGTTCTGACCTATTCTTGTGCCCCCTATTCAGTAAATATTGGGGGGGGGGGGGGGACANCACCTGGGCTTCAAGCTGACTGCTCACCTCCACCTAGCACCTAGGTTCATGGCATAGTGCATAATTTAGAAAACATGGATTTAAAATCTGTGCTATAAATATTAAACTATGGGAAATGCAATCACAAAAAAATAAGTACTTAATATTTTGCTGTTGATTCCAGAAAGAACTTATCTTCATTTAAATTCCGGTCATGGGATGGAGTGAGATGTGTGGCCATTTGGTGTGCCCACCGTTAGTGAGCCTGTTTCACCAACCCTAAATTGTAGATGAGTATAGACCATTTAGTAGATTGATAATTGGCAGGGGAAACTGAAGTACTCAGAGACAACCTAACCCAGTACCACAAATCGCATGCAACCTGACGTGGGATCAAACATGTGCCACTGCTGTGGGAAGCCAGAGACTATTACCTTAAGTTGTAATGTACACTCATCAGCTATTCATAGACTTCAAGAAAGCCTATGATTCAGTTAGGAGGGAAGTACTTCACAATATTCTCATAGAGTTTGGGGTACCCATGAAATTGTTAGGCTGATCAAAATATGTTTAAATGAAATGTATAGTAAAGTCCATATAGGTAAATATTTCTCTGATAATTTTCCTATCCAGAATTGTCTTTAATGCCACTGCATTTCAACTTTGCTTTATAATATGCCGTTAGGAAGGTCCAGGGAAACCAGGTGGGACTGAAATTAAATGGGACACATCAGCTGTTGGTCTAAGCTGATGATGTGGATTTACTGGG